AGAGCAGCTGCTGTCTGCGTCTGCGCTGCCATCATTCCTTCTCTCACTGAGCGGGTCGTGGTAAAGGGGAAACATGTAAACAAGAGGAGGAGACGAACACACAGCGAGAGAGAGGGACACGAAGGGAGACAAAGACATCACTGAGACACACAAAGGGCCAGGGAGACTTAAACACAGGGGACATGACAGACTCGCGCACTGAAGGCACGACGTGCCAAGAAAGACACAGACGTGGGAGGAAGCTAAACAGACAAGAACAAATGGGAAAACATAGAGAACTCAAACAGAACAAATCCAAGCTTAAACCATATAAACTAGAACATCGTGATACAAAAGGGACATGAAACCCAACATGCTGGGTCAAAAGACCCAGAACCATGACACACTTATAGCCAGTTACTTTTGAACAACACTTTGAGGGTTTTTTTTGTTGTTGTTTTTTTGCTTACTCAAAATAAAATGTGCATAAAGTTCCTGTTTCGTGTGTTCTTGTAGAACCAATAACACACGTCCACATTTGAACAAACTGGAAAAGATTTGCTAGACAAAGCTATGTTAGACTTCTATTCTAAAGAACTGTGTGTTTAAAGAGTTCATCACAGCTCATGAGACTTTACTTTAAAGAGTTATCAGACAATTGCATAAAAGCCCCAAATACAGTACATTTTAATAGCTACAATTATGTACTTGTGAGCTGCCCAGAAGTGTCAACACTTGATGCTATGATTACCGTTTGATAAAAACATTGTTAATTACAACCCAGAAGTTAAGTGAAGAGCTGGCACTGAAGCATTAGGACATAAATTAAGCCTTTGCCCCTCTTCAACAAAGGTAGATAATGGGATTCCACGTCAGTAAACACTAAAGAGATTTTTTTCACATCAAGCACCAGCATCCTGTGGAAAAACTGCTATTGGACAGTAATATCCCTCCAGTTCTCCCTGAAGACGTCTCTGTCTAACATTGCTCCTATTTTTATTCAATTTATTTACTTTATGTTGTTGTTGTTTGTTTGTGTTTTCTTTTTGTGCCAGCTCATTTGATATCACTTGGTGTTGCAACCTTGTTTCATATAACGTCTTCCAGCTAAGGTAGCCTCGCCTCCTGTGCGTTGAATAATTCATGACTTGCAATTCAATACTATTGGATTGGGGAGAAGGGGGACTCAAAAGTTGAATTACAAAACATCACCATCTTTCATCTCATAAAGTTTTTTAAAAATATTTTTACAAAGTGCAGAGGTCAATTATGAGTCTATAGGCTACAGCAGCTATGAATAACACAAAAACACTCCAAAACCTTGGGAGAGTTCCTCCACTTGGTAGATTATTGATGCTTTTACTTTTTTCCCCATCCTCAGGTAAAAACCAGCAGAGCCTTTGTCTGTGGTCTCCTGCACGGTTTATGCCTTCATCGCCTCGAGGCAAAAGAAGCCTAATTTGCCCAGGTCTGTTTTGGAGCCAATTATTATAATACCAAATGTGCTGAAAACACAATATAATTTAAAACAATAAAGAGCCTACCAAAAACATGCATTTTAATAATCTCTCCATTAAAGATGCATTTCATCTGTTCAGCAATTTGAAGCATTTTAGCTCACTATCTTATTTTAAGACCACAGTACCTGCAGAACATGAGCATCCTGCGCAAAGTTGCTGGGAGAAAACCATAAAAACCATGGATTGAATGAAAATGACATGAACAATAATACTACAATAAATCGTTTTCTGACAGTATCCTCTGGTTGTAGTTTTCCAGTCATAAGAGAGACCACACGAGTTCCATCTGGATCCAGTGTAAGTTTGTGGACCTTGTTGATCAAGTCAGGAGTTTACTTGCATTTTTCCGAGTCACCTTTTGGTGGCCGATGTGTTGAAGTGAGGACCTAAATGCAAACAAACCAGATGAGAACGTGGGACCTCAACGAAAAGCGAGATGATTTATTGGCTGATACGAAAATAAGACACAAAGGTAGGCGGACACTAAAGCAACACTAACATGAACTAAACTGGAAAAACTAGAAACGTTAAACACTAGGGATAAGAAACAAAAAAATCTGAAACATGGAAAAACCTGAATATGACGTGATGAGGAAACACAGCGAGTGGGAACACGGCGCCAGAGCTAACATCACAATATAAACACACACACAGAGGGCAGCTACACGAGGGGAACCTAGTAAATACACAGTGAACTAAACAAAGAATACAGGAAACCTAAACTACAAAACTGGACCCTATGGAATAAACTAAGATTAGGTAACTATCATATCTGATATCATATCTCACAGTACAATAATATTGAATGGGTTGCATTGTTGTATTTTGTCATGTTTCTCAGGTCTTTGTCTGAATTTCTACGAACATTGCTAAGGATTGTCTTATTGCATTGGAGTCACACTGGGTTAAATATGTACACTTGGGTTTTAAGGGGTATTTATTATTTTCTTCTTTTTTTTTTGGGTTGTATGGAAGCCCCAAACGCAATTTCATTGTTCTTGACAATGACAATAAATAAATACTACTACTAAGATTAACAAAGAGAACCTGAAACATCAATCATAATACAAAATCCCAAAGACACAAGGAACACAAAACGAGAGACCCGGGATCCTGACTCAGGCTAAAACAGCCCAGCTCAGACACAGCTTGGCTGATAATCATCATGGGTTAGTTCTTCTCTGACAGCTGCTTGTGAATATTTCAACATCACATGAAGTGTCCTGTGACACTTGAAGATAACGTGACAAACGTATGTAGTAATATCCAGCTGTGTGTGAAAAGTGATGTGATTCAATAAAACCTGTCAACAAAGTGAAACTTTAAAAGTAAATTCAAAACATAAAGGATGCAGTAGTTGTGATGCAGGGAAGAAGTCTGTTGATATTTTTCAATGAGACAGAAACTTCTGTGATAGATAAAAAAAACTATAACTTTTATCTATTACTTAACTGCTTTGGTGTATGGATGGATGGCAAAGCAGATGGAGTCTTTCACTAAAGAACAAGCTATCAAACATGCACAAGCACACTTAACAGCTCAAAATCAAAAACCCCACACTGGCTCATTCTGTGCTTTGGGCCTTATGTTTGACACCCCTAATCTGCAGAGTTTATCTAAACCAGGGGACATGTTTCATATGTCAGCTGTTAGTTGGTATATGGGAGCCAGCCCGCAGGCAGGGGTGGGACTTTATTTTAACGTGCACACCATGCGGCCAATCACATGCAAAGACAGACTGGGATCATACCAGTATGTGAAAGAAGGAAGGGGTCAGACGTCCGAGATCAGCAAGTGTATTGGTACAGGCCAGGTACACAAAGACACGTGGAGACAGATTTAAATGCAAAGCTCAAATGAGCAGCATCTGGCTGGACTTCAATGATACCGGACACTGAAAAGCTGAATATTGAATTTATAAAATTAGGAGGTGGATAAAGTCATACCTGTTTTGAGTTTTTAGCCATTTTCCACCGTGGAGGACAAACAGCTGTACAGGACCTTAAACATCATGTGTGTTCTCACTAAATGCATAAAAATACGTTTGTTATGAAAACACTGAATAAAAAAATCGCTAAAAAAGATTCATTTCACAGTTCAGTATTAAACATTACATAAACTGCAAAAGTGTGTTTGAATGGCAGAGATTCACAGTGTTGGGAAGGTTTTAAAATGTATTCCACTACAGATTACAGATTACATGCCCCAAAATGTATTTTGTAACGTATTCCGTTACTCAATGAGAGTAACGTATTCTGAATACTTTGGATTACTTAATATATTATCATGCTTTTTACAACTACATGAATGAACTATTGCTGTGTGATTTATTACTGAAGGTTACTCTCCACACCAACACCAGCTAGATGTTTAAATCTTAATATAAATGAGTAACAGTAGGTGGACATTAGGTAAGGCTGCGCTTTTTGCACCGATCTTGTATAGAAAGCCTGTAACACTCTGCCTATTGCCTTCATATTAAATCATTTTAAAAAATATTTCTTCACGTCATTATGAGATTGAGACACAGGCATTAGAGCCTCTTAATGCGTGTTTTTTTTGGGTTTCCACCGGCGTGGAATTACCAAAAATCGAGAGGGGACAGCCTAACATATGAAACAGGAAAAGACTGTAGTGTAATCCCTTTACTTTAGCAAAGTTACTGTATTCTGAATACCACCTTTTTAAACGGTAACTGTAACGGAATACAGTTACTCATATTTTGTATTCTAAATATGTAACGGTGGTACATGTATTCCATTACTCCCAACACTGGAGATGTAGAAATGTGTGCATGTAGCACAGAGTCATGGCTCAGTGTGTAAATGTGTCTCACAGGCCTGATTGTGCTGCTCACCACAAACAAGCATAAGCTTGTATATAGTTTTACAGCTTCCTACTCCTCTTTTATGACCATTCACGCTACATAAAGTAATTGGGAATAAACAATGAAATGACAGACAACTTTCTGTTTCTCTTTCTGACACAAAAAAATCTGTTTGTTTGTTTGTTTTTTTCTACAGTCGAGAAAAAACTGGACAGTCTGGGCAATGATGGAGCCTTCTGTGTAACTTCACACATTTATTTCTCACAATTGAAGTCCAAAGAGTTGTGCAGTCAGATTTATTTCTTTGTCACAGCAGCTTTTTCTTCATCATGCAGAAAATCAGTTAAATATGTAACTTCCTCTACACCGACAGAAAGGGTTCCCGCCCCCTAAAGGTCACAGTGGGCTGTATGTGTAAAAGCAGTTTGACACCGCTGATGTAAACTGATCTTAGCTGCAATGTTCAGGACAAGCACCATCTTATTTAAACCAAGTGTTAAACTTGACATATGTTAATATATTTATTTAGTACAGCGCTGTTTATTTAAACATCTGTTTTACACTGTAAACAGTTGGTTTAACTTTGGAATCGTTAAAACTACTTCCGCTGAGAACGGGGTGCTTCCTGTAGTTCGCTTGTGGAGCAGCCAATCAGCATGTGGAACAAAGGTCATTGCTCACACAGACCGGAAAGAGGAAGCAGAATCTCCAAAAGAGCGCCTTGATTGAAAATAGAGACGTTACAGAAAGGTAAGCCTAGTGTCGCTTTACCGTCAAACAAACCATAAAAACAAATTAATCTCTGTAAAGTAATTAACTTCTCATTCAAAGACGTTTTGTTGCGACAATAAATTCGCTGAAAAAAAGTTTTGACAAGTTTTTTCGTCCTCATAACCGGTAGAAACGGTCTCGACAGCTGATGTACATCTCGTTCATGAAATGTTCTAGAAACATCTGAAAGACTGAGTGACTCAAATGGAAACAGATGTTGGAGCATTTAGTCTGAAACTGAATGAAACATTTCGACAAATGTCAGTAACATCAAACTCAACGGAAAACTTTGTGTTCTGGGATTCATGTAATAACTGGACAACACGAGAAGTATTTACTTGCTTACGTTGAAATGTTACTTCTTTAAGATGTAGAATGGAACTCGCCTTGAGGTGACTGTTGTGATTTGGTGCTAAAATTGAATTGAATTCGGGTGTTTCCAGTCCCATTTTCTACCTGTCTCAGGTAGAAAGTCAAGCATGCATCTAGTTCTGCAGTCTGCTGATTATTCTAAAGAGCTTACTGAACAGTAATCTCTTTAATGATGCTGCAGCAGATGCTACTGTTGCAAACAGTCAATTTGTGAAATGTCTTCCCTCTGAGATAGTCCATGACCAGGCGATGCTGCAAAGTGGAAGCGTTTAGAAACCGTAGCAGCTCAGCTTTAAAATGGTATACCATGTAAGGTTTCAGGGCAGGTTACTGACTGCTGAGGCACATGGTGCATAAAAGTCATAAATCCTCTATTGATTCAATAACCGCAGCCTCCCAAACATCCTCTGGGATTATTCTCAACACAGTGGGAGCTTCATGGAATGGGCTTCAATGGCCAAGCACCACCTGTAGGAGTTCTGTGTTGGCGGCCTAGTAACTTTATCCATGTAGTGTGTTTTGCTTTCATTTATGGTTCAAGATTGGAACTTGATATTTATCAGACAAAACAACAAAGAATTGTAATAATGTGTCATTCTTGTTTTGCACTTAATTTTAAAGATGTTTTTTCCTCCAAAGCTGAACTCTGCAGATGCGTGTTATGCAGGGAAGTTACCGTTTTCTGAGAGGGCAGAAGCACATGCTCCACCATATCAAGCAAATTATTTAAAAAACAAACAAAACTCAATTCATCTGTCCACAAATATTCAGTCATTTAGGAAAGCGTTACATCTTTTATCTCTAGTGGTCTGCTTTCCTTTACTGTGGAAGATAATTCACCTTGGTTGTGTTTCTGTTCTGTCACAGTGAGGATGAGTTTCTTGCCTCGCCCTTTGGATCCTCTTGGGTGCAGCAGTGTCCAGGAGCAGAGGGACTTGTGGCAAAGAAAATTCTGTCGAATAGCCAAAGAAATGGTGCAAACAGAACAACGCTACTGCCAAAAGCTGGAACTGGTCACCACCGTATGTACTACAGCATATTTGACCTATTCATGGTCTTAAAATCATACGACATCATATTTCATAATGTAATGTAATGTGTCTGAATACTTAAGTGCTAGTACTAATGTCGGGCTTTTGATGCTAGGGTTACCCACATACTGTTTGACTTTTGTCTTTATTGGATAGTTACAGTGCAGTCAGGAAATGTGAATGACATGCAGTAAAGGTTTTATAGGCCGAGAATTGTCTTGAGGGCTCGTCTGAGGTAATCTATGTGAATTTTGCTTAAACCATTTTCCATTAGCTATCCTGGCTATATTTAGGGTCCGAGCACTAAAAGTGGGGTAGCCCTATTGTGTCTCTATTTACTGTATGATGAATGAAGCTTTATCTGCTCCATTTATTATTTTGGCAAATTAATTGCCTAAACGTGGTCAAAAACTCATGAAATTCTGCACACACATCAGGTCTGGTGAAAATGTACAGATCTTATTGGTTTCACGTATGTAAATATAATAATAACCACTGCAGCCAAACAGAGTGCCTGACGAGCCCAGCTGTAAGTACGCTGTGTTCATGTTTTCCTCTGAAACAATAAGTTCTGTTGCAGCAGCCTTTCAACGCCTCTCTCAGTCTCTCGCTAACAAAGTCGACCCAGACAACAAAGTAAAGCTAGTTTTCAGCTACGAGCCCGACACGAACCCGACGTATTAGCCAGAGGTCCCTTTACTACGGTTCGGAGCCGCTGACCTGTTTTATATACGAGATCACTACAAAAAGTGCAGCCTTACCTAATGTCCACCTACTGTTACTCATTTATATTAAGATTTAAACATCTAGCTGGTGTTGGTGTGGAGAGTAACCTTCAGTAATAGTAATAAATCACAGCAATAGGACATTCATGTAGTTGTAAAAAGCATGATAATATAATATGTAATCCAAAGTATTCAGAATACGTTACTGTCATTGAGTAATTTAACAGAATATGTTACAAAATACATTTAATCTGTAATCTGTAGTGGAGTACATTTTAAAAGTAACCTTCTAAACACTGCTAATGAAGCAATTGCGAATAGGTAACTAGTATCTTCTTCAAGGGTTTTTAGCAGCTGTAGCTTGAGGTGGGGATAACGTAAGACAAAGACCCTACACTAATACATATAGGACACCCTGATAATAATGAATTACAGTCGTCCAGCCTGGAAGTAATAAATGCATGAACTAGTTTTTCAGCGTCACTCTGAGACAGGATATTTCTAACTTTAGAGATGTTGCAAATGGAAGAAAGCAGTCTTACATATTTGTTTAATATGTGCGTTGAAGGACATGTCCTGGTCAAAAATGACTCCAAGGTTCCTCACAGCGTTACTGGAGGCCAAGGTAATGCCATCCAGAGTAAGAATCTGGTTAGATACCATATTTCTAAGCTTTTCAGGGCCGAGTACAATAACCTCAGTTTGATCTGAATTAAGAAGCAGAAAGTTAGCGGCCATCCAGGTCTTTATGTCTTTAAGACATTCCTGCAGTTTAACTCATTGGTGTGTGTTATCTGGCTTCATGGACAGATAGAGCTGGGTGTCATCTGCATAGCAGTGAAAATGTATGCTATGTCTTCTAATGATGCTGCCTAAGGGAAGCATGTATAATGTAAACAGAATTGGTCCTAGCACTGAACCCTGTGGAACTCCATAATTAACCTCAGTGTGTGAAGAGGACTCTCCATTTACATGAACAAATTGGAGTCTATTAGATAGATATGATACAAACCACTGCAGCGCAGTACCTGTAATACCTACAGCATGTTCTAATCGCTCTAATAGGATATTATGGTCGACAGTATCGAATGCTGCACTGAGGTCTAGCAGGACAAGCACAGAGATGAGTCCACTGTCAGAGGCCATAAGAAGATCATTTGTAACCTTCACTAAAGCTGTTTCTGTGCTGTGCTGAGCTCTGAAACCTGACTGAAACTCTTCAAATAAGCCATTCCTCTGCAGATGATCTGTTAGCTGTTTGACAACTACTCTTTCAAGGATGTTTGATATGAAAGGAAGGTTGGAGATTGGCCTATAATTAGCTAAGACTGCTGGGTCTAGAGATGCTTTTTGAGTAAAGGTTTAACTACAGCCAGCTTGAAGGCCTGTGGTACATAGCTGATCATTAGAGATAGGTTGATCATATTTAAGATTAAACTCATCTAACACTTTGAAACTGAACCATCTCCCATTGATTTTGTTATTACCAGAGCAGGGCGATATGACCAAAAATATTTATCACGCTATACATTTTAAAATTTGCGATAACGATATAACTGACGATATAATTGACACTAGACAAAATACTTTACAACTCCACAACTTTATTAGTGCAAAAAAACCCATCAATGTATTTTCACTTAAACAAGCAGCTGTTTTTTATGTGCATTAAAGTTATATAAAAATTTGCAGTGCAAATTCCTTGCTGACAGTTTAACCAAAAGGCATTTCCAGTGGAAATTGGCCGACATATCCTCAGCATAACCATGTATAATATCCACAAAACTTAAAAAGAGGTTATACACACACAATACGGTAATATTATGTTGAAGCACAGTACGTATCACTCCGCGAGGCTCCTGCCTACGATAGCCGTAATGCTCCGACAATCCATCAAGCGGTGCGGCTTCGTAGCTTAGCAAAGTCGTACTAAAACATTTGACAGATTTTCGAGCGCCGTGTACGACATAAAATCGTTTCGAGGTCAGTAAACACAACCAGAATTCATACATAAGGCACACGGGATTATAAGGGGCACTGTCGATTTTCAGAAAAATCAAAGGATTGATTTTAAGTGTGCCGTATTTTCCAAACAACACGGTAATAACGACGGCCCGCTAGCATGCGCTACCAAAAATAGTGCTTTGTTGTGTATCTGACGGACGAAAGCTAAACCAGTTCCACACCACTGAAGTTGCAGCATTTTTACAAACCAATTCTGGTTCATCCGTTTCATTTAACGATCCACTTTCGCTCTTCTCATTCTGCGTCGCCGCCATGTGCGTATGTAAACAAAGGCACTGCGCATGTGCGTTTTACCCATATTCTATCGCTTCACGAATTTGCGTGTCATCCTTGCGCAGGGGCCATGCTAATCTTCTCTGTATCGTATCCAATTTAGCGTACGCGCTTGCCGAAACAAGCACATATTCTATCGCCATATCGTGTCACTACCCGATCCGTACCGGAAACCCCCTGTGCACGAGAAAATGCTAACTTCCTGGTTTGAGACCGGATGTGGGGTTGTACATTTCCGGTAGCTTTACTTTGCGGTCAATCGCTACTGCGAAGATATCCTCCAAAATCATGTCCAAAACTCGAAAACGGAAAGATCGCGTTAAGTTACAAAGAGCAGAAGGTGGGAACACTCACCGCTGTTGTGTCATAAAAAATCTAATGATCAATTTTGACGTTTAAAGCGTTTAGATCGATCAGTTGTTTACATCACTCAACACAAGCAGAACTGCATCACTGCAGCAGAAGACACATCGTCCACATTCAGAAGCACATCTCTGTTAGTGACTGGTCTTATGATTTAAACAGGCAAATGTTCAGCATTCAAACTACAGGTGAAGAACTAGTCAAACCAGATGTTTCCCGTTATGTCGAATCAGCTGTCAAGTACACACCTACACAGCATGTTAACAAACCGTGAAAAAAGCCACACAAAAAATGAATGATTGCTGGTAACGGTTTCTATCATTAGTATGTACGAAGGGTATGTTGTGACTTACCTTCAAAATTACAGCGGTCCCTCGCTATACGCGGTTCACCTTTCACCTCGCTGTTTCGCAGATTGCAAGTTTGCTATTTTTTACGTCACATTGTGCTGCGTCCTGATCGCTGCAGACGATCTCCTCCGTGACGTCTCTCCTGTACAGTACAGAATCGCTGCATCGATGCTAGCAGTGTGACTCTGAAGTGCAGTACTGTATGTCCACGATGTCCACCAAACGTTTTGCACCGTCAAAAAATAAAATTGGCTACTTGATTTCACCTACTCGCTGGTTATTTTTAGAACATAACACCCGCGATAAACGAGGGACAGCTGAGAAATATAACATTTGAATCCCTTTTCTCTTTTGCTCTGAGGCGCGGGGAAAAATATCGACAAGTCGATGAACATCATTTACAGATATAGTTGGGTAAATGCCCGAGACATCTATAGAAATGTAAATCGCCGCTTGATTCATTCATTTGCTTAACTTGTTTTGGACCGTAAACCAGGCGCGAATAGGACACCGGAAACAAAGCTCCCCACAGGAGTTTCCGCACCGGAAGTAGCATATGCTAACGTGCACATAGTCTATTTCATTTTCTTATTGTTGTCCAACATTATGCCGGTATCACTGTGAACGGTATGATATGGCCCAGCCCCAGTTATTACCAACCAGCTTCTGTTCAGCAGCTGCTGTTGTGTCCTCATGTCTCCATTCTGTCGCTGCCTGCAGGTGAAGGGGAGAGGGACATTTAATGAGGAAGAGAGGTGGGGCAGAGGCAAATGTGGACAAGAGAGGGGCGAACTAGCAGCTTCACACGTCGAATTGTAATGTGACATAAACGGTATCGATATAAATGTATTTTGACCCCATCTTAATTTATACTTATTTAGAAAATTCTTTAGTTAGGGCAGTTGAAGTAATGTATAATAAAATGTTTAAAAATATTTCCTATAATTTTCATTGTTGGAGTGGAGCTGAATCAGTGTCTTGGGGAACGTGGGCCTCTGCCCGTGTGTTAGTGGTGCAGTGGGTGGTGAAGATCATCCAGGATGCATACGGGTTTGATCAGTCACCTCTGCTCCATCGCGCCTTTAAAAGTTGTTCTCTTAGTAACTTGTCATAATTCAAGGAAACAAGAACACTTTGATAGCATGAGAACCCATCTATAAAGATCTGATCGGCTCGTCTGTGGAGGTTGTTCCAGACCCGAGGTGGAATCATATTTGCCTCAAAGAGAGAAGACTTTTTCTGCTCACTGCTGCTGCCCAGTTTCTACACAATTATTCACCCCCCCCCATCCGTTCACTCCAATTAGGAGTCATTTTAGGCCTAATGCACATTCAATTTGCTAATCCCATTTTCACTTCAAATGACTTGAGACCAGCACAGCTGTCGCTTTATTGTCAGTGCTGTGGTACGACAGTGTCCCTCTGCATTTGTGCTTCAAATTGGCTCTTCCAAAATAATCATAGCAGTCAGAAAGTGGCTGTAGGGCAGCAACACCCCAGCCTTATAGTACCTGCTGCTGTTAAATGTCCTGTTTTTCTGTGTAGCTTTACTTTTAGGGTTGTCAGCAATAAAAGCACCTGCTTATCAAAAAAAATCCAATCGGAGACAACCGAGTAACACAAATGCTGGAAGATAATGTCCCTTTGTCTCTCTCTGCTCTGTTTCTTTGCAGTTCTTTGTGGACATTTTGAAGGCCAAAGGAACCCTGAGGTCGGACATTAGAGAAGACATTTTCTGTTCAATTAAAGCTATTCTATCAGTAAACCAGTAAGTATTCTCTGAATAATTTAAAGAATATCCATGCTCTGGGGATTGTGGTGAGAGCCTGCGTACAGATAGGCATGCTTAGTTTGTCTGTTCTGCAAGAATGCAGCGTAGATAAACTCTTAGTTTACCAAAGCACAGTCCTTATCTTCACATTAGCAAAGGTTAGTGTTATTGTACTGCAGTGCACAGTAGTTCTCTTCCTCAGTAGATGTATATCACAAATGAACAGCATTATTATTATCGCAGAATATTAATGCACTTTCTCGCTAATGACCAATTCTGAGACAAACTGATCTCACCGCATGTCTAGACATCAATTGATTCGTTTGTGTTGATGCTGTAAAATTCAGATCCTGAGTCCGCACGAATGACTTAAAATAAACGGGTTGAGGTTTGAAGTTGGAACATGTGTGCATGTTGAGGCCCTGGACTTAGCTCTGCAATCCATAAATCAATATGGTAGAGAAACGAGCTCAAAATGGGTTTTGGAAGCTGACAGGAAAACTGATATTTTCATTTCAAAGCATTTCAAGCTACGACTGGTCCAAATATGGGTCATTCCTACTGTTCCGTTTCAGATTGTAATATCATTTTTAAAAATTCCAATTTGCCATGATTTTGTCACTACATTTAAAAGAAAAGTTGCTATATAATATATTGGTGAAGCTCGTGATATTATGCTGTAACAATAAGAATATTTTCCACACATGGCACAACTTGTTATAGGACAGGGTCATCTCTGTTACTGTTTCAAATGTTTCAAGAGCTAAACAGTCCCTGCTTTTGATCTGTAAATGTATTTTTAAAGGGTGTTAATATTTTCTAATAAAAAGATCAAGATGGTAAACTGGACAGAAGAGTGAAAGGAAAACAGCCTACATGTGCCACACACTTATGGGAAGAACCAGCTGTTATATCTGCCAAAGGTGGCCACTCTGATGAGTCAGACATTTGGAATATATTTTGGTCCATAAACTAACGCCATGTTTTACTTTTTTAACTCCAGTTGCCTATTTGTACCATGCTTTCATTTCAGAGTGCAGTGAGACATTAAACTGCAACAATTACAGTAGAAAAACGGGGTGTTCTAAAACATTAGAACGATAGTGTAGATGTATATGAAATAAATAAATAATAAGGCATGGCCTTAGCAGTGTGAGTGCGAATGGTTGTCTGTGTCTATGTCTTAGCCCTGCGACAGACTGGCGACCTGTCCAGGGTGTACCTGCCTCTTGCCCTAAGACAGCTGGGATAGGCTCCACCCCCCCGCGACCCTGACAAGGATAAGCAGAAGAGAATGGATGGATAAACTCAAGTATGCTGATAGCTCTCTTTGAAGTCGTATCTGTATTTCATGTTGGCTTATAAGTCTAAAGTAGGAAGTGTCGGTGTATTTTCTTATTCATGTGAGAAAGATTGCTCCTAGCCCATAGTTCATTATCAGACTGCACAGAACGGGAAACTGTGGAGCAGGGGCTTCGGAGACCGCTGATTGGGAATTCCATTTCCGAGCTAAATAATGAGTTGTACGAGTTCCCCAAGGCCTCTATCCCCTGCAGACTGACGGGCTTTCTCATTGAGATTGCCGCAATGAAGATTGAGGTATGCATTACACAGTCTGATGTGTTGGATAAATGGTTTTGCAGTTCACATACTGTTTATCTTCATTATGAAGTCCTTATTTAATCAGTGATGTGAATATAACGACAAGCTCTCGAGATAAAACGGGCCATGGAGATCCAGTGCCGCAGTGATTCACCACTAGGAAATGATTCAATATGTATGTGAAACTTCAAGTAATGTAATCATCACTCAGTTCAGCAACAGGAAATAGGAATGCAAATGTTGCTGTTTTCCTCTAATGTGTAATATGCATTTAGATCCATATATATTTGGGCACTGCCACAAATGTAGTTACTATTACTGCTTACCAAAATAAGAGTGTTGGCTTATTAATGTGCAGACTTATTTATAGTATATTTGTGTAAAGTTCCAAGATGGCGCCAGTGTTCACGGCAAGCTGTCTCCTCCGCTGTTGTTTGTCGTCCTTCTGTCTATGTGTTGCCCTGATGTCGCCACGTTACTTGCCTATGATCGCCAAACTCTTGAATCTCCGGCCTTTGGACTACCAGACACAAGATTTTAAATGGAGACCTGAGAATCCTCCTCCGCTTTCGAAGGACTTTCCTGATTATCTCCGCCACTTACCATCTACCTTCTCTCAAAGGAAACGTACACGGAGACGGGGTAAACGTGTTTGTATCAAGGCCTTTTTAAAGTCCTATGTTGGGACAAATGATCGCTATTCTATAAACATCTTGTCATCTATTCCTGCCCTCCGAGACCATGCTAACTTCAGACTGTTCTGTCATCGCTGGATTCGCCTTGTTGGACCTTATGGTTACCTGGACCTCCCAGCTGATCTTCCACCCGCTCGGTGCTGGGTGCGGTCCTCCAGAGGAGGTGCGAATCTCAACCTTCGCCTGCTGCGCCGTTCTCCTACCAGTAACAGTGTGACCACTCTCCGTATGGCCTTGCTAAATACAAGGTCACTGGCGAATAAGACTTTTATTTTAAATGATCTTATTCTATCGTCGGGACTGGCGGAAACTTGGCTTCGCCTCGGCGAACTTTTTCCCTTCTCGGAGCTGCTCCCACTGACTACGCTTTTATTAGCTCACCCCTGACCACTGGAAGAGGTGGAGGGCTAGCTTCAGTTTTTAAAGACAAACTTCGATGTCGGCAGCTGCCACCTGTTCTGTACCCCAGTTTCGAGGTGCAGTTATTGGAAGTGAACTGCGTCCCCTCCATCCTCTGCGCTGTGGTGTATCGCCCCCCGAAACTTATCAAGGATTTTCTTCCAGAATTTGCTGATCTACTGGGGAGCCTTCTGCTACGTTATGACCGTATACTAATTGTTGGTGACTTCAACATTCATGTTTGCTTTGAGGACAGTTCGCTAGCTAAGGATTTCTTTGCTCTTATTAGCACCCTCAATCTCACCCAGTGGGTAAGTGAACCAACTCACACTAAAGGTCATATACTTGATTTGGTCTTATGGTCTGGATATTTGCATCACGGACATAGAGGACTCTGGGATTTCTGATCACTTCCCGGTTTTGTTTGATACTGTAGCGAGTGATGTGGATTTGAACAGTGATGGTCCTTTACGGCAAACGTGCACAATTAACTCCCAGTCAATCGCCTACTTCATTGATGCTTTCCTTGACTGTCCCCTCTCTGATGCTAACTGTAATGGGGTTTTATCAGCGGATGAGCTTGCTAACCTCTTTTATACTACATGCGCTGACATTCTTAACTCTGTGGCACCTCTGAGGATTAAACAACCCTGGCTAAATGATGCTACTCGTGCCCTCAGGCGTGAATGTCGTCGTGCTGAAAGTAAATGGAGGAAAGACAAACTCCACGTCTCTCTGGACATCCTCCATAATTGTCTAAGTATCAAAAGTCTGTTAAAGCTGCCAAATCTGCCTTTTTGTCTATCATTATTATGACTAATAGGCACAACCCCCGAGCTCTTTTTAATACTTTTAACTCTGTGATAAACCCTTGCACTACCACTTATAGGGATGCTTCCCCTGGTCTTTGTGATAAATTCTTAAAGTATTTCTCTGATAAAATCTCAGCTCTAAGGGCTTCTCATCCATCTCACCCATCATCAGTTTTAGACCCAGTTCCAGCTTCTGAATGCTTGACTGTCTTTCAATAGTTTGAGCCAGTGTCTTATTCTGCTTTAAAAGATATAATTGATCATCTCAAAATCTCTGGTTCCCCGCACGATATTCTTCCTTCTCGTTTCTTTAAGGAAGCTTTACATGTTATTGGTCCTTGTATCTTATCTCTGCTGAATGCATCATTGTCATCAGGTTGTGTACCGTCTCTAAGCATGCTGTTGTGCAACCTATTATGAAAAAGAAAAATCTTGACCCTAATGGTCTCACTAACTACAGGCCGATCTCCAAACTCCCTTTTATTTCCAAAATATTGGAAAAGGTAGTTCTAAAACAACTTCAGGCCTTTTTAGATGCAAATGGTATTAATGACAAGTTTCAGTCTGGTTTGAAACCTCGCCCCAGCACAGAGACAGCCTTACTTAGAGTTGTTAATGATCTTCTTTTAACTGTTCACTGTGGTTTTAGTTTTACTTGACTTAACTGCTGCTTTGACACGGTTAACCACAACATTCTTCTATCAAGAGTGGAACATGTTGTTGGTCTCAAAGGTGCGGTTTTATCTTGGTTTAAATCCTACCTCTCAGAGAGGCCGTTCTGTTGCTATGGGGCAACACTCCTCGGCTTCTGCCCCTATTTATTGTGGTGTGCCTCAAGGGTCCGCGCTCGGCCCTGCTCTCTTCTCTTTGTACATGTTGCCGTTGGGATTAATTTTTAGAAAATACAACATCTCCTTTCACTGTTATGCCGATGATATCCAGATTTATTCACCTCTGTAATCCGATGTGTCTGCTTCTTTGCAACCTCTGTTCAACTGTTTGCATGAAGTTAAAATTTGGTTATCACATAATTTTCTTACACTGAACGAGAATAAGACCGAAATCATAGTCTTTGGTAGTCACACTCAGTTAGCTGATGCCCTAGGCCCTCTCACTAGCCATCTCTCGCTCACTGTAAGGAACCTGTGAGTGTTCCTGGATGGCTCTTTTAAACTTCAGAAATACGTCTCCACTGTGGTAAAAAACAGCTTTTACCAGTTGCGTTAGATATCCAAAGCAAAGCCATTCCTTCCTTTAAAGGACCTTGAAAAGCTTGTCCACGCATTTATCACATCCAGACTGGACTACTGTCTTCTGCCATTCTTCAGTTAATTCAAAATGCAGCTGCGTGTCTTTTAACAGGTACGAGAATCTATGACCGCATAACTCCAACTTTAGCCAAACTACATTGGCTCCCTGTCAAATATCGCAAAGATTTTAAAATTCTTTTGTTCACTTTTAAAATTCTGAATAATTTGGCGCCCAGCTA